ATTAGACCGTGTATCCAGAGCTAACATACTATAATTGCATCCAAAACTATTTACCTACGTGGTCAAAAATCAACAACGCGTTCACATCGACGGAACGCGACCAGTCGCCGGCGAGATGGCGGGGAGGAAGGACTCGCTGCGCGGGCTTTCGGTAAGTTGCGTTGTATTTATTGTTTAACGGTTTATTTTCTTATAATATCATTGAAAACTAAAGATAACATATATTGGAATCTACTCATAATCTTTTGATTATGTTACTTAGTTTTATTTAGTTTTTATAACGCCAACAACTTGTATGTCTAGTATACTTCCCGTCATCGAAGTACTAAGATTTTGCAGTTACTTAGTAAAGTAACTGCAAAATCTTATGTCCAGTATTCTTCCCCTTGTCAAATTAGTAGAAAACTAAATACAAAATCGTATGTATAGTATTCTTCCCATTGCCGTATTTTTAGACACGTAAACACTGTTGTATCTCGAAAATATATTTTTACTTTTTGTTTTTCAGAGCTTCAAGTCAAGAGGACATCGTTTAGTAGGATTGGTCCCACCTGAAAATGCACCATCAGATATAGACAGTGGTTCTGAACCTGAAAACGAAGAGGAAATCGCTGTTTATAGAACTGAAGAGTTATCCTCCTCACCCTGCCCTTCCATTGATTCAGACATAGAACGCATGAATATCTTAGACAGCTCCCATACATCAGAGGACCATATTAGCGGCAGTGAGAACAATCTTGTGTCAGAATTTGAAGACAACTTGAACCAAGGGCAACCTCCGTTGACTCCTATTATTAACAACGTGCTACCACCAACTGGTGAAGTAAATTTTAATGCTTTACCAAGTTTGGCCTCATTACTGTCAATTCCATCATCAACTACTTCGTCTATTGCTAGTCCATCAACAACAAGAATAACTAGACGTAAGAGGAAACTACCAGTACAAGCTGTGCCCAATATACGAGCAAAAACGACCAAAAAAACACTCATTGTAAGCTACAAATGGAAGAAAGGACAATTCAGACATAAGGCTGACATTCCATCAAACGACTTTGTGTTTGATTTACCGGCTACTGACTCTCCGTTGGCTTTTTTTTATCGGTTTTTCTCACCAGATATACTCACTGATATCGTCGACAACACGAACTTATACTCAACCCAAAGAACTGGTAAATGTATACAATTGACTATCGAGGAGTTGAAAGATTTTCTCATGGTTCTTCTTATTATGGGTATAGTAAAAATGCCTTCCTATCTAGACTATTGGTCTACCGAATTCAGTTACCACAAAGTGGCTGACGTTATGCCATTGAAACGATTCGAGCAGATTCGACGCAACTTGCACTTTGTGGACAACGTCAACTCAGATGAGGACAGATATTACAAGATACGACCCTTCATTGAAAAAATAAGAAGAAACTGCCTTGCAACAGAAGAAGAAATGAAGTACAGCATAGATGAGATGACTATACCGTACAAAGGTACTAAAGCCGGAAATCGGAGACAGTATAACCCCATGAAACCTGATAAATGGGGTTTCAAGAACATAGTACGCGCTGGTGCGTCTGGAATCGTCTATGACTTTTTATTGTACAGCGGCGATGACACTTTCCGCTATATCGATTTTACAGAAGAGGAAGAGCAAATGACATTGGGTGCTAAAATGGTGTTAGCCCTTTGTAAAACAATTCAAACTCCAGGATGTGCTGTTTATTTCGATAATTATTTCACAACGCTCGACCTGATTTGGTATTTACGTGAACACAGGGGGATTTTCAGTCTTGGAACTATACGGCAAAACAGACTGAAAGGCAGCAAGGGTCTCCTAAGTGACAAAGAACTGACAAAAAGAGGCAGAGGTTCATTTAGCCAAGTCGTAGACAACGACAAAAAGATTGTCATCGTTAAATGGTACGACAATAAAGTTGTGACTTTGGCGTGTTCTTATGCAGATGCTTACCCAGTTCAAGAAATCAAAAGATGGAGTAAAGAACAGAAAAAGAAAATTGGTGTCACATGTCCGCAATTAGTACGACACTACAATCAACATATGGGAGGCGTTGACCTGTGCGATATGTTGATAGCTCTGTACAGAACGTCTTTTAAAAGCCGTCGTTGGTACATGAACATCTTTGGCCAAATGTTAGATATAGCGGTTAACAATGCCTGGCTACTCTACAGGCGAAATTGTAATATGAAAAGCCTGAAAAACATAAGCCTAAAAAAGTTTAGACAGAAGTTGGCAGTCGAATTAAGGCAAATGGGAAGATCAATTGAAACCGACGCACCAAGCCCTGTACCGAAAAAAACACTAATTCAAAACCCAAGTGCACCGAGGCCCCCAGAGTCTGTGCGCTATGATGGCATCAACCACTGGCCTGAATATACGACATATGGACGTTGTAAGTTTTGTAAGAACAACAAAACAAACATGCATTGTTCTAAATGCAAGCAGAGATTGTGCCTAGTGACCAAAAGGAATTGCTTTAATAATTTCCACAAGAAGTAGGTGGGTAGTGCCCAAAGATTTATCTTGATTGATATTTTTATATGTACTTTAAAAACTAGAAGACTGATTATTTTTGAATAAGATAATTGTTAATTATTATAAGAAGAATTTTAAAGATATTTTATATTGTGTTCAAAACATATGTGATTTTTTTTCTTTTCTGTGTAGAAACCGTGTGGTTTCAGAGTTCCTATTAATGTTTTAAGCATAAGCCAATGTAACAATAAGACTATTTTTTTTAAATATATCGAATATTTTCCTATGAAATCACTGTTTTTTTTATTCTATCTCTTTGATAATGGGAAGTATACTGCACATAGTTAGAGTATATCTGTTTCTTATGAACTTGGTGATGTCCATTATAGTGGACGTCGATTTTTCAGGAAACTGAAGCCGGTAAATTTTTTCAGATATTTTTTCTACGATCCCGGACAAGCTAAGAAACAAAATTTGTGACGATTTTGTAAATTTAATAGAAAAAAAAATCTGTCGAATTAAGGGTTAAATATGGTCACGATTCCTAGTTTTATAGATCAATAGAAATTAGTATAAAAAAAAAGAATTGTGACACCTACTATACTACTGTAATTGAAGAAAATAATGAAACATTAAATAATTGCCTTCCAATATTTTTTAAAATATTTATAGTGTTGGGAGATGTAGCCCAGACGCGGCGATTTTTTTCACAGTTACATAGATCATAATGCGAACTTTTTTTTTAAAACTACCCACACATGAAAATTATTTGAAAACGTGCTAAAAACTGACCGGCAATAATAATTATCGGAGCGTCAAACATTGCGTTATACGCGAGCAGTTTACCGGGACAGCTTCCTAGTGAATCTAGAACGCGCCACCGGTTGGAAGGCTACAAAGAATATCAGCCCGAGCGACCTACCTTCATGTCCGACACGATCTGCTGGTATAGATTCCATAACGGTGAACAATCCTTCTCTGTAGTCCCCTCCATTGTCATAAAAACACTCACTTTAACACAAAAACACAATCAAACGAAACACAAAATTACACCATCGATCGCGTCCATGTAACTTTGGACTAACTGTTGCATTTTCGTTTACTAATAATATTTTACACGTTATAATACTCCCCTACATCTCACTTCACGATATTAGACGCAAAAATTAAGTTACAAAATAAGATATGTAACAAATCAATATTTATAAACATGAATGCTCTCTCCGTAATTTCGACACGGATAAAATGAGCGTTTTATCACTGAAATTCACATAAACTGCAATTGGTTCATCAATTCATAATATGTTTAGGCCGTTAGGACACACTTTCATTCAAGAAAACATGTATTTTCACTTGTTTTCATACACAAACATCCGATTAAAAATTACAAGACGCGCATACACCTTGCAAAACGACAGACAAGCTCATCGGTCGGAATCGGTTTGTTTGGTTCTTGTTGGAAAACGCTGCGATTCGTCAATTTATTCGATGGTGTTGCGAGCTACAAAAATAGAGGTTCGGAACGCACTTTTTAATGCTGTCCACATTTTAGTGTTGTGACATTTGAAAACTTACTAAATTGATATTTGCTGAATTAGTTTTCATTGATTATCTGTGTGTTATAGTGAAGACATGTTTTAGGTTTTTAGCCGTATTCAGCTAAATTAATTTTAATTTGTTAGTTAAAAGATTGAAAGGGTTTACTTTATAGTTGGTGGTTCCATAATCATCAGGATCTGATGGTGGAATTTTAGAAAAAATTAAGGATACACGTTAGTGCTTATTACATTTTTTATTATTATTCGAGTTTCGACATTGATAAAATCATTATTCTGTAAATGTGAATGAGCTCATGATGGAAGGTGTTACAACAATGATAAGGAGTTGAAACATTTTTTTATAACTGTTCATTATAAGAATTTATAGTTTAGTTCTCATAGTCTATTATTAGATTAACCTGGCTCCTATTATACATATAACTCCTCAATGGCTAGGAGTAAAAAGTCATGTATAATTTCATGGACGTTTAGAAATTAAGAGATCAAATGTGATATTCCATGTTTTTTCTATTTCATGTTTCCATGGTATTTTTACATGCTTGAATTTTTTCTAAGCGCATGCTATGCTAATATCAGTGGTTGGATTAGGTAGTGTGTTGTGGTGTTTGTCTTGTGCATCCCTTTGAGACGAGGGTGTCTATTTGTAGTAGGTTGAATGTATGTACCTATATGTGTTTTTAATTTAATATAATTATCGGTTTCTTAACATTCAGGTATGAGTGGAAGAATGAAAATGTTATTAAAAATGACACACGAACGGATGGCGCATGATGACACCCATTAAGATGCATCATGCAAATGAAAGCATTTTATAACGGTAATTTTTTACGTCATCACATCACTCTGACGACAGCAAACTTCTGACGTATTTTGAGGGCAGAAAAAGAAAACAAAAACTCTTCGCGTTATTAATTTAATAAGTACTTTGAGTTAATTAAAGTTTAAAGCTATAATCATTAAGGAACGATAACACTTCTAATCCAATCTCTATATTCGTAAATGTTACTGTAGACTCCTGGTACACCTTTTATTCCGCATGGATCTTTGCCGAAGCTGACGACCCCAGCCAGTTCGAATAGTTTATTGTTTTCGTACATCAATGGTCCTCCGGAATCGCCTTTGCAAGAGTCTGTGCCGTTTCTACCACCGGCACAAAGTTGCCCCTTCCATAGTTTTCGAGATGGGTGAATGCCTGAGCTGTACGCTGGTTGGCATTGCTGTAATAGATTTTTTTAATAAATTATTGTTCGTTAACAATACAAAATACATTGCGTCTCGCGTGGATCCGCGTTTTAGACACATAACAGGTTGATGGCATTCTTTATCAAATACGAGTCTGAAGAAAGTCTTGGTTTTCAGCCGCAAGTTAGGTTTATTTTTGTTAAATTTTTGAGATTTAAAGTGTTAGCACTAGTTCATTAAATACGAGGTTCTAACTACCTCTTCGAAGAATGGAAGTTCAAAAACATAAAGTAATAAGTAAGTAATTTGGTATTTTGATATAGATCGATTTTGAAAAGGATTGAGCTAATTTACATAAGTAAATCAAATCTTTTCAAAAAAGTTGTTAAGATCCTCAACTTACTTCCAGTGGTACAAAGGGCACCTCCACTTCAAGTTTGACGTCACTAAATTTTTTGTTTTCAGTTGCACCCCATCCAGTAACGAACATAGTAAAGAAAGCATCCCTATTTCTTGATAAAGTTATATCTTTCGTTGGTAAACAGACGGGCCGGATAAAATCTAGAAAAAGAAAAAAAACGATTCGTGAATCTTGGTAGTAATTGAGTGACCAGAGTTTCCCACGACCTCGCGGGTTATCGAGGCTCTGGTTCACCGCAAAAATAGGAACGGTATGGGTTATTATTAGTGAGTAAGAGTCTGATAAGAGCCTCACCTAGGGCGGGAGAAGCTGTTAAATGATTTTCCCCTAATAAAATAAGGTAGTTACGAAGTGACAAATGGTGACTGTGACAATGAATAGTGAAATACACATAAGCATGATACCAATTGCTGTAGTGTATCATTAAAATAAAAGTCTCATGAAAAGGTATCTGTGCACTTTTGTCTTCTTTTCAATTATCGTCTTGTAACAGGTACACAGAACGTTTGGAAATGCGCATGTGTGCAGGAAAACTGGTTTATTCCACCAAAAATTGTATTATTATTTTTATGAGATTGTTGTTTTTTTGCCAAAAAGCAGACATACGATAAGGTAAATAAGGAAAACGTTTCATTAAATGTGATGTAGCATTTATATCGAGTTGAGTCCTTAAATGAAAATGTTGGGAATAAAATTAACGCTGAATAATATTGGCAAGAGAGAGAAAAGCAGACAAAGAGAGAGACAGCAGATCTAAGTAAATTGTTGACGCTTAGATCTCCCATCTACTGTAAATACCAAGAAAAAACTACGCGTTAAAAAAGTACCTAAGGGGCTGTTTCAATTCATATCGACTAATAGGTACTAATAACTGAACCTCTATATCTACATATATAGGTTCAGTGTGTTTTAGGTACACAATCTGTGCTATAAATTAATATATTATTTAAGGTGGAAGTATAAAAACAAAATACAAAATTTAACAAAAATACAAACCTGTATAAGGTGCAACCTCCTTCAACCTAATCAAACCAATATCATTCCATCTTGCTGTTTTAATGGGATTGTATTCTGGATGAGGAATTGTCCTTTCGATTTCTATTCTAGTTACACCTTCAGTACAGTCCTGCCCACCTCCATCTGAGAGTTTGCAGTCACGACCTTCGTTGGTTATGTTGTACTCTCCCAGACGTATAAATTTTCTGAAATATATGCAAAAGTTAAATTATTCCCTTAATTACACCAAGGAGGCACATTTAAATAAAAAAAAAAACTGTACAGATTCGGAATTAAAAATGTAGAGTAACCATAAAATGAGTCAATAATTATGTTTCGGCTTATTTTTGAGGGGGTTAAATCATCCATTGACTTCTCCCGCCCGGGCGAGGCCCAGACCCCCTCGCTCCGTGCCATAGTCCAAACCAGTTAGTATATATATAAGTACACAAAAAATAAATCCATTAATTGAGCAAAATAAATCGACTATCATCAAGGACAAGGTTTCAATGTCTTTAAAAATCGTCTTAATAACATTTGGGTATTTACCAGACGGTAAAAACGTTTTTTCCATTTAAAAAAAACTTATATTAATAATTATTTTTATAATCACAACTATTGGATAATCCTTGAGTAACTGCGAATTGTAATCAAAGAGATGAACAATTAATTAAAAACTAAAAGTTAAGATCAATCTGGTCTATACTTTTTTGATCACTTTGACTGGATTTTAGTGTTACATTGTTCTCGCACAATCCAAACAGCAAAACTATGTAACTAGTAAATTGTATTGTGAACCTGATTGAAAAAGAGTAACCTATGGAGTTTCTTGCTCGTTCTTCTCCATAGGAATCTACGCCTTGGAATGAGCAAATAGCTTCACTTTAAATTTTTGTTTTTGTTGACGTTCAAAAGTGCCATTCTGGCCTAATTGAAATAAATGATTTTGACTTTGACTTTGACTATAGTAGGTATAATTTGATCTATTATCTTCCTTATTAATTGGTTAGTATGGAAAACTTACATATATGCATAGCCTCATGGCTGTCTTCCATGGGGATAGACAGAGACCATGGAACGCCAATAGCTACGATTTTCACATACCTCTTTCGCTTCATCAACAGTCATCAGTCTTTTCATGCATGCTCGTCGATTAAGAGTACTTTTTTTAATATAACGCCAATCTGATCGATATATGTCCATTGAAGGCGACCACTTCCTATAGCTCCATTCATATTCGCTCTGTATACCTATTTTTTTTTACTACTCTACTTTCATCCATCCTTTTTACACGTCCAAACTATCGTAGCATTCCCTTTTCAATCTTTGTCACTACATCATCGTTCAATTCACTTAATTAACAGAATAAAAGGAGACAGTGTCTTACGGTGTTCCATTCTTCAGTGTCACGCCAGCTATACAGTGAGCAGCAGTGAGGACATATCTTCCACTGATTAAGACACCACCACATAAAAGGAGTTCCTGCTTAGTCTCATACTCTATCAGTGCAGTCCACGGATATTGGTCTATTGCCGTTGCTTCACCACCTAAAACATGATATTTTAGAACTAGTCGAATTCAATACTTTTATCGAAATGCCAATGGATTTTGTATGAGATACAGACTTGTGACGTCATCACATATTTGCTTATTTATAATATAGCTAGATCAAAGAATGAAATACGAATAATATTTTATTGTATTGTTTTATATAGTATTGGCGAGTTGAAATAATTTATTTTTGAGCAAGGAAAATACCAAATTAGATCATAAATAAATCAATGACATTTATATTCGACTCGTCTTATTTTCGACTCTTAATTATTTTCGACCCGTATCCGTCCTCTATTGAACATACGCTTATCTCAAATGACATAGATCGCGCCACTAGCTTCAATGTTCAACTCTTCGTGCTACTAGCAAAAGGGAACCAGGTTTTATAATTAGGTTCTTGAATTACAATAATTCTCTGTAGTATCTCGGAGTTTGAACCAAACTCAAACCATAAATACCTACTTAATTAACAAAATATGATAATTAAAATTGAACTCATATATTAGTTTGAGGATGAATAATAGGCGTGACGTTATGTTAAGGTTCTCGCGACTATTTAAGGGACTTCCCACTTTTCTTATATTGACGATAGTGGAAGAAATGAGTCAGACAATAGACAATAAGGAATGGCTTTAAGCACAATTACACTTTACCAAGTTTAGAAATTGAATTCGTTTGAAGTTCAGTCATAAAACTGGACAATGGTATCCTTACTTCCTTACTAATATTATAAATCGGAAAGTGAGTTTGTTTGTTTGTTTGTTCCGCTTTCACGCCGTAACTACTAAACCGATTGCTTTGATTTTTTGCAGATGTAAAGTTAGAAGTCTGGATTAAATAATAGGGTACTTTTTATCCCGGAAAAATTCTATATTCTCGAGGGAAAACGAAATTATTAGCATAGATGGCGCTGTGTGTATTGGTATATGTCATATAGGCTACTTTTTATCCTTTTGTGACGCGAGCGAAGCCGCGGGTAAAAGCTAGTATAAAATAATACTAACCCGCTCCTACGATTTTATTGCCGACTTCAGCTGAAGAGCCACAGCAACCAGTGCTGGGAGAAGGAGGATAAGCAGTCATATGAGGTCGGCACGCTTTGTTCTCATCCCGCGTTCTTGAATCAAGGTAATCGCCGTCTGAGCTAGCGGGGGATGTTCCACAGCAAACGTTGAATTTATGGGGGCCTCTGCAACTGTGAATTGTAAATAAAATTAGTCGTGCCGTCGTAACACAAATGATGGTACAGATTAAGAATGAAGTATGAAGAATGCTACTTACGCAGAATTCCTAACGAAAGCCATATTTTGTGCGGACACAGGTGGTTTGAGAAGATTTGAGATTTGTGGACACGAGTATACGTTTATACATGTTCCAGGTTTACCATCAGGTGTTATGCACGCTCCTGCTTCTGATCCACCCTGTTTAGCGCACCATACCTATAAGAATAATAAAAGCTCAATAAATTTTCGTATAACAAATCACAGTTTTAAAAAACATGCTAATGGTGGGCGGACTTTTTTGAACAAATAACTTTGATAGTTGAATACCCATATCCTCATTATGAGTATCTTCACCTCCATTAAAAGACATCAAAAAGAAAAAAAATAACGTTCTCAGTTTGACCTGTGTGTTAATCTCGCGATTGGCTGATCCGATTTTGGTGCGGTTTCCAGAAAAGTGTTTATTGCACTAAGGAAAAGGTTTTAGTTTATTTATCACCCAAATACAAAAAAAGAGGGTTAAAAGTTTTTTAAAAGCAGTTTATAAAAAAACATTTTTGGTGAAGCAGTCTTTTTGCTTGATACCAAGAGTCCACTGATTTTAATCTATCATATAATAACATCCCATTTTGGCTCACTAACATAGTCAAGTATAAATATGTTAACTATTTCAGTCATACTTTTAACTGGTTACGAATATATTTTATTCAATTATACTGAAATGCTTATAAAAATCAATCCAATCTAATTTGATGCATAGGTACTTCAAAAATTGAATTTCTAAGAAAATGAGGTTAATAAAACTGTCAAACACCAAGCGGTCACCGGTAACCGCGACCTATTGTTCTTTAATTGTGTCTATAAAACCGGTACTCGACGAGTTAAGATGACTGAAAGAGTTAAGTGAATTATGACTATTTCACCGTCATCCTTACCTGGGGCATATTACCCACAAAGCCACAGTGCAATTTCTTCAACAAGGCTATGTCTTCGGCAGACTTGTTTGGCTTGTCTAATATTTTTTTCAAATGTGGACAACTGTTGATTGGTAAATATTCACCAACTTCTCCGACTGGTTTTTGACATTGTGAATATTCTGTAAAAAAAAAAACAAAATTATTCACATTAACATTTAATTTTGTTAGAGGTTACCATGAAAAATAAAAAATATTAAAGTGACTATAGAGTTTTGTAGCTATTTTCCAATTTTATGTTTTAAAACGTTGCCCCACCCTAGGATTTTCTACAGTTGCGTATGGGTGCGTTTACATTAAAATTTCATATATATATATGACACCTAGACAAACAATTTGTGGGTTACACAAAGAGTTAATCGAACCCGCTACATAGTACGTAGCAGCCGGCCCAGCCACCACGTTAACCGTAAAATCAAATAACTTTATGTTATTAACATTCACTGCAATGTTCAAAAAATCACGAAAAATAATTAATTTTAAACCGGTCTCGTATCACGATTAGAAAACAAATACACTATAGATACTTCTTATGAAGTGATTTGAATCAAGCTCTCGTGTTATAAAAGTTTAGGCATAAACATTTAGCGATGATCACAACAACATTGATAGATATTAACATAACATGTTAATAAACAAGTATTTATCAAAATGTTATAAAATAAGAAAAAAACAAAAGCTGTCTTACGTCCGCAAACCAGTCCGAGGCACATAGCTCCGAATAGAAACCCAAGAAACATCATTTTCTGTGATAAAATGATTTTACTTAAAAAAAATTGCACATGCTCCTTGCAGAACCACTCGTTTCCAAGTTTACGTGTCGACTGACCGTACAAACGGATGGAACCTGTATTTTTTATAATGCATAACGAGGAAAATATAACTTTACGTTCATGAACCGGTATAACTTTATACATCAATCATTTAGAACAAGTTGTCCGTTTGTAATATCATCGACTTAATACTCATTTAAGTTTAGGAGCTCATTCACAGATTAATAGAACGTAAGTACGTACCTACTTAATATTTGAATATTTTGGGAACTTCGATATTTTAAATTAGGCAAGAATATTGAAACTGTACTTTATACCTTATGTCAGAGCCGCGGAGGACTTTTTCAGTTAGTTTTGAGTCAGTAAGAGTCTGACACTCCCTCCCGTCTCACCCAGGTGGGAGCAGTCATTCGATTATTTTCCCTCCTTAAAAAAATACCTTACGTCAGAAGGTGAACTAAATAGTAGGTAGGTACTATAATATGACAAGCAACGGATGAAGCACACAATACCTTTACAAAGAATTAAAATGTTATATCATGTTATGATTATAAACATCAACATGACCTACACCCATAAATTAATTTCTTATGACATTATATTGGGAAGCCCAAAAAACTCTTGCATTATCAAAAGACCGGCAATGCAATTATAACTCCTCCGGTGGTAGGTGTCCATGGAATACGCTGATTGCTTACCATGCGATCCATCTCGTCCTCGTTTACCATTTATTTCATAAGCAGTGATATTGTATTCTCGCAAGCAAAGCTAAATGTAAAAGCTATACCGTCACATTTACCTGTTCTGAATGAATTTCATTACGCATGCACTAAGCAGGTAAACCGTAAAGAAAATATCAAAAATAATTGATCTACCACAATTTATGAATGCAGTTCAGTTTTCTTTTTTCTTATCTTCTCTCCAGTAACTGTACAGGAAGGAAAATTGTGTAGGTACGCTTTCCTTTATGACTCTTAATACAATTTTACCGACTTCAAAAAAAGAGGAGGCTGTTTTTTTTGTTTGTTCGCTGATTACTCCGCCATTTCTAAACCAATTTTCAAAATTCTTGTTTTGTTTAAAAGGGTATACTCCCGAGATGGTCCCATTTCTAACCTTTCAGTGAGTGGGTAACATATCAGTACTAATAATAGTTATTGTTTGCTGTTTACTTTTGACTTTTTGTTTGTTATTCATTTTTAATCTATTTCTTCCTCAAAGAAATAGGTCGTCCAGAAATCTATAAGAGCGTACTTCTTTTTAAAAAGCTAGCTTGTAAATCTTATCAGTTACGATTAGTGTGTATGCGTTTGGCTTGTAGTCTTATATGGAGGTGAGCTTACATAAATTGGGAAAACTAAGTGCATCTCTGCCTACTCCTTAGCGAACGAAGTACGAGAATCAATGACACATCACGAGCACTCCTTGGAATGCATTCATCATAACAACAAATTACATTAGAATTATTACTAAAATCATAGAGCTATTTAATATTTTCCTGTTTCACAAATTCTGTGTATGTTAAAATTATTTGGCCCCAATAAAATGAACTCGATTTTATGCATCGATAAATTTTCTACATTTTTCAGATACAATGTAAATGCAAGAGGAAATAGGTATCTAACGATTTTCCTCGACTTTTTTTTGTATTTGTTCAGAATGCAATCACGAGGGAAACATATTTTTGGCATTTTTTAAGAGTCATTACATTTGTCAGTTAAGAGGAAGCGCATCTTTTCGTTTTATATCAAGTCATACTTTTTACGGAAAAGGTGAAAGTAACGGGTCTGTATAAGGAACGTTTGAAAGTTTATCCCTCGGTTTTCCCTGAACTAAAGTTATGGGCTACCTACGTACAATGGTGGACGTTGACGTCTTTTTGTATTATATTAATGACGTTTAAAAAATATTAAGTCACGATTAGTTATTTATTTATATATAGGACTGCCTCGTTGGCCGAGTGGTCGCGAGTGCTACTGCCGGGCAAGGGGTCTCAGGTTCGATTCCCGGGTCAGGCAAAGTATTACTGTATCTCAGTAGTAGCACAGAGTCTGGAAATGTGCCCGGTATAGGGCAATAGGCTCACCCCCTATTACATGGGACTCATAACATAAATAGTGGAATGTGGGTGTTACATTGTACAGTGGCATTAAGTGCCGTAATGTGCACCTCTGCCTACCATTTCGAGGATCGGCGCATCGCGTTCCTCAAAGAGCCATCAGACCACCACAGATGGGGCCCAACAGGGCCGATGCCGATTCGGAGTCGCGGAGAACCTAACGGATAACCGGGGCTCCGGCTCGACGTGCAGGAGAAGAAACGGGGTGGTTTTTAGTCAGTAAGAGTCTGATACTCAATCCTGCCTCACCCAGGCGGGAGCAGTCATTCGATGATTTCCCCCTTTGAAAAAAAAAACAAAACATAAATATGAAAAGTAAATATTAAATTAAATTTATTTAAAATTGTCTCCATTAACCAAATTTAAAGAATTATATAATTGGTAACAACTTTTGTTATCATTCATTATACAATAGTCAATGGTCAATCCGTAATACAAAAATACAAATACAAAACAAAGGAATAATCAAAGATCAAGATAAAGAACACAATCATTAGATCTGAGGCCAGGTGGCCTGGAATCTGCTAACCAAAAGCCTTTTCTCGCACGCAGAAGGTATGGACAATAGTCGCCACGCTTGCTTTATGCGGGTTCTCAGCTTCAAACTTGTAATTATAATTATGAGTCCAGGTTTCCTTATGATGTTTTCCTTCACCGTTTGTGAATGGTGTCTGTGTAATCTTAGAAAGTACATATTACACTTGGAAAAAGTCACATTGGTATTTGTCGTTGGTAGGGTTTCGAGCGTCTTCATGCATGAGAAGCGGGCGGCCTAAACCTTCGGGCCACCACAATATTATTGTTATTGCTCTAGTTATAATAATATTTTATTGATTCATGTAGGGACCTACCAACAAGTACTAATTAACTTTTGTGTAAAACATAACCGTACTTAGAATTTTTAGTTGAGTTTTAAATCCTCAAGTCGCCTTGTATAAGCATTGTTATCAATTCTCAAACTTTAACCGTGCGCGAAGAGGCCTTTGCTCACCAGTGGCCAGTTATATGAAGTAGGAGGAATTATTTCGACCTTTTAATACAAAAAATACTTGTTGAAAATTAATCATAATCATCGATGTGATCCAATACTTTATTTTCATATCAAAAACAAACCGATTTAAAAACAAAAACACCTAAAAAACATACCGGCCTAACAGGGGCTAACGTTTTTTTGCTCACCAGACGGCGCAAATCTAGAAAGGATTTTTTTTTGTCCAATCACTGCTCTTCCTTATTAGGAAATCGGTTAAAAAAAGGTGTGCGATTTGACGAACCACTATTATGCAAAAATGAATTTTGAAAAAAGTATTCAATTTGACTCCATTCTTACATTAAATCCTTTTTTTTCAACGTCCTTGGTTCTATCCTTGATTCTGAGACGGCGACTGTAAGATGAAAGACTTTTTAATATTTTTTTTATAAAAACAGAAATATCCAGTCATATCCAAGTAATCCAAGGAACAGAAATATCAACAAAGTCATTCACAAAGGCAATGACTGATACAAGAAGCTCTGCTATTTCTATTTTAGTAATAAAAGGCACATCACTAGATCTGTCAATGAAATCAGTTACTAATTGACAGAACAATTTTTGACATTTATAAAAAAACGAAGAGAGGTGTTGTTGGTGTCACCGGATATTTCCGTTTTTCACTTGATTGCTACGCAAATATTATATTTTTTATTATTATAACTAAAGTTATGATTATATGTTTGTGAAATGTCGCAAGTGAAGAATACGGGTGGTCAAAAAGCCGGCTGCATTTATAGGATAACACTCGCTAACTTCGTGTAAGTAGAAAAGTAAAATAATTTTCGCGCGCAATCACAGTTTATGTTTGTTATCTTCGATAATTTTATATTCAATATCAATTTACGATTGTTTTTCGAACATATATAAAATAATTTGCTATTTAAATACATATTTGAATTTTGAATGGACCTTGAAAGCCCTGTTTTGTATAAAAAACACGTTCTGACAGGTTCCCTCTCGTTCATGTTTTATCTGAATTACCTAAACACTTGAGTGATTCATTGTTTATAAATACTTGAATAATATTACTATAAATTCTTTAGCGCTATGAAATCCTTCGATAGCTAATGAAATACTGTATTTAATTGGCTCCAAAATTCAAGTTGTTGTATGTAATATAAACACTAGATTCTGCCTCATTTCAAACCATTATAAGTTTCTACTCAATACTTATTGACAAATCCATGTACTAAGTATACTCTGGATACTCACTGACCCGTGCTTGCGATTGGCACAGACACTCAAAGTTGTTGTATGATCCTCAAAAAACCACTACGAAATAACCCTGCATTATTCCCCTATATTTGTTTTAACTTGTTCCCTTATTTTTGTGTGCCTATAAATACTTTAAATAAAAGATACTGTGATCTTGTTAATTGATTTCCATGTATCATCTCAGAAGTCAAGAAATACTGAAAAATTTATTGTTTACATGTATTTTCAACCTATTATGCTGTAATTAATACAATTTCACCAGTGCGCCTGTCAAAACTGTTATGAGCTATTATTACTAGTTGAGTACCATATTTATAGACACAATTAAAGAACAATAGGTTGCGGTTACCGGTGACCGCTTGGTGTTTGACAGTTTAAGATTATTTTTTCTATGCTAGATGTTCTTAAAATGGGATTATGCATTGTTGCCAAAAACAAATATGTGTTATTTCCCTCAAGGAATCGTTTGGACACAATTTATATGTGCACTGTCTAGCCATGACAGAAATTGCACCATCATATAGATAGTTTGGCAGATTGAGTTTCATCAGGTTTTGTTTAAAATTTCTACCGTTGTCTAAGATAAATCTGATATGTGCATCAAAATAGGAGAAAAACTATTTATCGGGGATGAACGGTACACATTATCATTTTCACTTTTATCTCAGTTTGTGTGTAATATTTTTGCCATCATACTGAATTTTGAATTTACTGATAAGTCCATCAATCTGCCAGTGCAAGTGATAAAAAAACAGTTTATTGTCTCCCCGGAAAACTTGATTAAATGCACATAACAGTATTGGCAGGCACACCGATGATTTATAACTTGTAAAATGTAATGATGTGGACCCTAGTTCATCATTATATTCAGAGTTATCTATATAGGTGATCATGTTTTCCTATTAAAATCATCATAAACTTGAAATGCCTGATTTATAAAATTTATTCTGTCAACTAACTTCCTGCTTTATAAATAAAAAAAATATTAAATTCGGTATGTCATAGGTTTAGTCGTAACTTTTTTGTAACATAACACAACGCCTTTTAACCCGGAGAGGTAGGCAGAGGTGCACCCACTTTTTAACAATTCATGTTATAAGTCCCATGTAATAGGGGGTGAGCCTATTGCCATATACCGGGCACAATTCCAGACTACGAGCTACTACTGAGAATTTTTATAAAACCCAGTAGTACTTTGCCCAACCTGGGAATCGAACTCGAGACCCTATGGCCAGCAGTTGCACTTGCAACCACTCAGCCAACGAGGCTGTCACTTAACTTTTTTCTGTTCAAACATTTCTATTACTAAATGACTCAACTCATTTTGATATGAAATGTATTATAGCCTATAGTTATTTTTTGCTTTTTAGTTTTGACTTTTTGTTTGTTTTTGGTGTTTGATTTTTTGAAGTCAGTTTTTTAAACGCAGTTTTTATTTTATTATTTTATCATTTTCAGTGTAAAGCTACATATACCCGTTTTGTCAATACAAATTGTTATTTTCATCAATACAAATTAATCAAGCCCAAACACAAGGTAGTTACTGTATATCGTTGAGTAGTTCCCTTAACAATTACACTTCTTCATCATCAGACCCTTAATGACAGTCCCACTCTATCTAGGTGTAAAGTCCTCATCAATACAAATTAATCAAGTCCCAAACATGAGGTAGTTAATATAAACCTGATGACCATCATCAGGTCGACTCCAGACCCTTATCAAATTGTAGTGTCTGAAAATCGTTATTGAAAAACATAATAGACGCATTACTCCCCCATAGAATTTTCGAAAGTTCCCCTCGGTTTTCCTAGGATCCTGACCTCATGAAAATGGGACCATCTCGGGAGTATACCCGTTTCAAACAAAACAAAAATTTTGGAAATCGGTTCACAAATGGCTGAGTACTGCGCACACAAACAAAAAAAAAAACAATCAGCCGAACATAGTACCTCCTCCTTTTTTGAAGTTGGTATTGAGTCTGTTTTACTCGACACTGGCAGTATAATCGACAACATCATATTGGAGACTCGGTTCCAAGAGGCAAAAAAATAATGTTCTAAAATAAGTAGTGTCCCAGTCAGCATTTAGCTATTAAGCACTTTAATTTTATTTCACTAAACTTTCTTATTAACCTGTTGAAAATCATTCCCTAAATTTGTTCATACAAAAGTAGTCTGTAAACATTGGAAATAAGGTCTATAATGTAATTAGTGAAGAGCAATCATCGGTGACCGCTTGGGGATACATGGATTAATTGCTTAGTAGCAAATGTGTGAAGGTATAGAAATAATTTAAGGTTCATTGCCTGTAATGAATTGCGTAAAGGTAATCCCCATATCAGTTTTGCGTTAAGATATAGGCATGTATGATTTCCCAGATATTGCATTCAATAAATATTTTATCACCAAGGAAACATTATTGCAAAGATAAACGTTTTGCGGTACTTTTTCTAATCTTTGTTTGGAAGTAATTATATTTTGAGATATGGTATTAGACGGAAAGATTAAATACCATAGTGCATACTTATATGCATTCTAACAAATTGACTCTTGTATGTCAAGGTATCCGCAACAAGATCTACTGCTAAATAACCTTATTCAAAGTCTTCTAGATTTGCCATAAAACAATTCTATTGTAGACATTATGTGCTGGTTTCACTTGCATTGTAAGGGAAACAGTAATCTATGCTGTTCTTCAGACCTGTTAATTACCACCAGATACAAAAATCATAGTTTCCATTACATTTCCATAAATTTTTACAAATTCAATTATGCACAAAGCTTTATTAGTTAATTATTATATTATAAGGCAAAGAAGAATTAACAAAAAAAAATATTTTACCCGGTATATTAACTGGTAGTATGCTGGAACCCAGATCTATACGAGACACAATATGTGTGGCATTCAAGCAATAGAGTAGATGACTAATTTTTATTTTAATGTCCGTCCTGTAGATTATTTTAAAACATTACACACGTATTTTTTAATTTTTTACAGAAACGAATACTTTCGACGATATGTTGATTTGAAATGTCGCGTGACGTCACTTCTATGTACATTTTATACGTAGAAATGACGTTTTAGCCCCCACTCCTAAACTTTGATTCGTTATATCTAAGTACATGTGTAATATTTTTTCATTACCTAACTAACGGACTAATTAGTTTTTCAATTTTCATACCCAGTCATCATCCCTATTAATTCAAGTATTTATTTTATATTTTCTTACTTACAGAACATACCAAAGTGTGGAACTGTTACCGAATTCATCGTTGAACTTGATCATTGGTCCCAATGGCACTGGCAAGTCCACGTTTGTGTGCGCTATTATACTGGGGCTCTGTGGCAAGCCGAGTGTTATTGGACGAGCAAAGAAAGTAAGTTATACTACCTATATAACTATTTTATTTTCTACAACATACAACATCAACAACATAACATCACGCCTTTTATCCTCGAAGGGGTAGGCAGAGGTGCACATTATGCCACTGTACAATGTGACACCCACTTTTCACTATTTATGTTATGAGTTCCATGTAATAGGGGGTGAGCCTATTGCCATATACCGGGCACAGTTCCAGACTCCGTGCTACTACTGAGAATTTTTTAAAAACTCAGTAATACTTTGCCCGACCCGGGAATCGAACCCGAGACCCCTTGCCCGGCAGTCGCAATTGCGACCACTCGGCCAACGAGGCAGTCTTCAGTTTATTTTCTACATACAAATATTTTTCAAAACATTAAGAGAAAATTGATCAATTCAAGCCTGTGAAGCTAGCTACTTATTCCAAATCCTAGTTCATATGGAACGTGATGAGCAGGAAACTACGAAATCAGTTCCACTTTTATTAGTTGTTGTTTTTGGTCATTAAAATTCCTTATTCAAAGGATAATATAGACATGCCATATTATCCTCAACCTTTTATTAAAGTTCCAAATCATGAGTTGTGACTTGTCGTCATGTCAATATTCCAGCCTAGTGTCTGTGCTAACATATCATAGAAATTTTTGAAACATAAATTAAAGTGCAAAAATTTTTAGTAAATCTTAATTGCTATTAAGAATTTCAACCCGGATATCTCTTGCCCTGTTTATTACATTTGATTGACCGACGTTTCGCCACTATCTCGACTGGTGGTAAGCGATGATGAAGCCTACGATAGAACACGTTTAGGCAGATGTAGGTACTGTGCTGTGATGTGCTAGCAGAAGTGAATTGGTTGCTTACAGGCATAAGCAACCAATTCACTCGGGCCTTCAATACACCCAGGTTATCCAGGTTACCCTTCACGACACACAGACTCTGGCAAAGAATTACATAACATAACATCACGCCTTTTATCACCGAGGGGGTAGGCAGAGGTGCACATTATGCCACTGTACAATGTAACACCCACTTTTCACTATTTATGTTATGAGTCCCATGTAATATGGGGTGAACCTATTGCCATATACCGGACACAATTCCAGACTCCGTGCTACTACTGAGATTTATTGAAAAAAACCAGTTATACTTTGTACGACCCAGGATTCGAACCCGAGACCCCTTGGCCGGCAGTCGCACTTGCGACCACTCGGCTAACGAGGCAGTCCAGCAGTGGCAAAGAATTCTCATTAAGTAAATGCTTAATCAATGAGTATCTAGGTACATAACTAATCTAATTACCAATTCATCTTCTTCCAGATATCAGAATACGTTAGAAGCGGTTGTGATGAAGCGACTATAGAAATAGAGTTATACCAGAAGCCAGGACAGAAGAATGTTATCATTAAGAGAATATTCAACACCTCGGACCAGTCCAAATGGTACATCGACCACAAGTTGGTACAAGTTAAGCAAGTACAGGAACTTATAGCTTCGTTGAATATACAAGTAAGTCTTATACAGATTTTAATACACCTACAAAATATTTTTTTATTACTTGGAAGGTTAAATATAAATAAAAAGGAATATAAAATAAGAAGTAAGCATTTAATTTTTATGGACCCACGGAGAACTTAACGGGTTACCGGGGCTCCGGCTCGAAGTGCAGGAGTAGGAACGGGGTGGTTTTTAGTCTGTAAGAGTATTCCTCCCCCCTCAGTCAGATGGGAGAAATCATTCAATGATTTTCCCCCCTTAAAAAATCATTCTACTTATTTAAGCCTTAATTAGGCACTTTTGAAATGTCACATTGAATTGTCCATCTGTCAGTAAAACAGTTTATATCAATAAAGAATAAGTTCTTATGTGATTTGCTTGTTAATTTTGCTCAAAACAATTCTTTGTGTGGATCAATTTATTTTATAATAATAAGTGCCTATTATTTATCTAACTCAGTAAACTTCAGTTATCAATTTAATGCTTATATCAAGGCCATACAATGAATCAAGTCATACTATTATTATTTAATGTATACATTATTTAAATTACATCTCAACGATGCGTCATTTCTGGTTATTTTTAACTAATGGCATAAGTACAGAAGTAGGAACGGGATTGTTTATAGTCAGTAAGATCTGACACTCCCTAAAAAAAGCAAAAAGGACATATACGTCCTATTTACCTAAGACTGTCTTTCGACAGTATATTAATTTGAAATATCATGTAACGTCACAGCGTGCTACATTTTACAGCACGTTGTGACGTAACAACCACCCACTTATTGTAGCTTTATACAAGAAAATAAAAAAATACGTGTCTAATATTTTTTCATTATCTAACTGACGGTCTAATTAGATTTTTAATTTTCTTACCCTGGCTACTACCCAATTGTATTTCTCACCTTTTAAACCTTCCCTGGACTTCTACGAACACACGACAGACCAAAGTTAGCTAAATCGTGTAATATAATAATAAACACTGCCTCGTTGGCCGAGTGGTCGCAAGTGTGACTGCCGGGCAAGGGGTCTCGGGTTCGATTCCCGAGTCGGGCAAAGTATTACTGGGTTTTTAAATCTCAGTAGTAGCACGGAGTCTGGAAATGTGCCCAGTATATGGCAATAGGCTCACCCCCTATTACATGGGACTCATAACATAAATAGTGAAAAGTGGGTGTTACATTGTACAGTGGCATAATGTGCACCTCTGCCTACCTCTTCGGGGATAAAAGGCGTGATGTTATGTTATGTAATAATAAACAAAACAATTTGTAAAGGAATCTTGTACCATGGGCCTGTATGGAGCAGTTAATGATGTCTAACAAATAATATTATTATTATTCTTTCAACAGGTAGACAATCTATGCCAGCTACTACCTCAAGACCGAGTCCAAGACTTTTCAAAGATGAATTCTCAGGAACTACTGCGCAGCACTCTGTCAGCAGTGGGTGGGCAGGAGAGTGTCTCTCAACTGGACGAGTTGATTGAATGCCGGACCAAACAGAGGGGCTTGTCCACACAGCTACAGACTAACAGACAAACTATGGAGGAGTACATACGGTTGAATGAGAGGTTGGCACTTTTTTAAATATTTAAAGTTAAAGACATTTATTTGCGTAAAAACATGGTATACAAAGATGTTATACTTACAATATAATAGATCATCATGTTTTGCTTAATAAATAAAGCATGCAAATTTTAACTTATAACTTATTTTAACTAACTTACACTCGTAGTTATAAGTTATTCATTATTATTTATGTGCAAAAAATTCCTTAATGCTATAAAAATTATTTTCATTCAACCATACATATAATTTAATTTTAAACAGTCTTAGGTTTGAGGTTTTAATGTTATCGGCAATTTATTAAATATTCGGACACACATACTTAGGCAGCTTTTATTATATTTTGTTAACTTAGGAAACTCCTCTAGTACTAGTCTTTACAAACACAAATACTTTATTGCATTCCACAATGTTTGACTTGAGTGGTAACATAGAATTATACAAATTATTGAACCCTATCGGGCACAGGAAATGTATAATTTTAATACATAAAATAGTGTTGAACTAGCAGTGGTGTACAATTCAATATGCACGCACGCACGGTTGGTGCGGTGGCTGATGAACAGGCTGCCGCGCAACGTGTCGCGGGTTCGATTCCCGCACGGAACAACTCTTTGTGTAATCCGCAAATTATTGTTTCGGTAAACAGACGGTGATCCGTCTGCTCGTTTACTGGCCATAAAAAAATAGATTTACATCATCAAAAAAGTCCTCTTTTTCCAGATTAAAAGTAATAATAGACGCAATGCAACAGCGGAAAGAGATTGAGAAACAAATAGAGATATGTGAGAAGAAGAAGATGTTTTTAGAGTACAAAGTGGCGAGAGACAAAGTTGTAGAATTGACAAGAGATAAAAACGAAGCAGTGAAAATCGTGAAAACCCATCAGAGTAAAGTAGAACCCTTGGAACGAGTTATAGAGGGCGCTAGAGTAGAAATTGGGAGGCTAGAACAAAAGAAATTAGCTGCGGTAAGTTTGAAAATTAAATTTTTATTTATTTAGTTAACTTAGCAAAGAGTATTTGATATTTAAGTTAAATTATTACAAGATCGATAATATTCAGAAATTTTGTCAGTTATACAAACCGAGGTAATTTTTTCCTTTTTATTTTTATCATAAACTTAATTTTATATGCCTCTGCCTCTGCGACTGCCTCGTTGGCCGAGTGGTCGTAAGTACGATAAAAAAAAAGTGCGACTGCCGGGCAAGGGGTCTCGGGTTCGATTCCCGGGTCGGGCAAAGTATTATTGGGTTTTTAAATATTCTCAGTAGTAGCACGGAGTCTGGAATTATACCCGGTATAGGGCAATAGGCTCACTCCCTATTACATGGGACTTATAACTTAAATAGTGAAATGTGGGTGTTACATGATTGTACAGTGGTATTAGCGCCATAATGTGTACCTCTGTCTACCCCTGCGGGGATAAATACGCGTGATGTTATGTTATGTTATAATTATGTTTATAAAAGCACACTCGACATATTGGTAAATAGTAGTGCATCATTTTAAAAATATATAATCTTGATGAATTTGGGGTACAGCTAATAACCATATGTTTTTACAGAATAAAAAAACGTACGCTTTAAAAGATCAAGCTAAAGAAATAATTAATACTGTTCGCGCGCAAGAACTCAAACTGAAGGAGATCGAAGGAGCTTTCCAAGACAAAATTGAGAGATATAGAAATAGAGAAAGGGAGTTGCAAGAGTCCAAAGCGAAGTTAGAGAAGTTGACTATGGATAAGAATAAATTGGTGGAGAAAGTTGGAGACGGTAAGTTAAATTTTAACCGACTTCCAAAAAAAGGAGATTCTCAGTTTGATTTACATGTATGTTTGTTTGTGCGCGATTATTTCACGATTGGCTGAACCGATCAGACTCATCCCCTATTACATGGGACTCATAACATAAATAGTAGTAATAGTCGGTGTTACATTGTACAGTGGCATTAAGTGCCGTAATGTGCACCTCTGCCTAGCCCTTCGGGGATAAAAGGCGTGATGTTATGTTATGTGTTTACTTTAAAGTATAAAAGGACAATATTATTTACAGCCACAAAAGTGAAGATGGATTTAGCAGAAATACACAAGCCCATAGCTAAAACTAATGCCGCTATAGAAAACCAAAAAAAGAAGAAATTGGAGATAAAGTACGACTTGGAAAACAATGTGATGCCGCAAATTAGACTTTATCAGAACAAGTTAGTATTGCTTTTGTATTGTTGTAAGTGAGATTTTATTATGTTTTTTTTATGGCATACGCCGGTAAACGAGCAGACGGATCACCTGATGGTAAGCAATCGGTGTCGCCTATGGACACCCGGTACACCAGAGGCATTACAAGTGCGTTACCGGCCTTTTGGGGATTCGGAGTTTGAGGATCGTTGGGGATTCAGTAATTGGGCCTCCGGTAACCTCAATCACACGACGAAACACAACGCAAGCGTTATTTCACGTCGGTTTTTTGTAAGGCCGTGGTATCACTCCGGTCGAGCCGGCCCATTTGTGCCGAAGCATGGCTCTCACACACTTAAGTCAATTACCTTTTATAGTCGTATAACGTAACGTAATGTCGATACGTTATCAATTAATAAAATACTTGGAAAAGAAAAACGATAGTGGTTCTTCTTGGTTCTTACTCTTTGATTTATTTATTCATCAGGATTCGTAAACTAGAGGATGTAGACAATAAACGTCTAGAAGTGTTAAGATCTTACAGTGAAGATACATATAAAGCTGTATTGTGGTTGCGAGAGAATCGGGAGATGTTCCAACAACCTGTTTATGAGCCTATGATGCTTGAGGTAAGTTTAATCAATGTAAACAACAATATTCTTGACTTTTTCCGAGTTACATGTACTTTCTAAGATTATTTAGACACCAATGACAAACGGTTAAGGAAAACACCGTGAGGTAACCTGGCCTTATTATTTCTTATTATAAGTTTGGAATCGCCAACCCGCATTGAGCAAGAGTAATGATTAATGCTCAAACCTTCTCCGTGTGAGAAGAGGCTTTGCTCAGCAGTGGGCATTATAGGTTTCCTCACAATGTTTTCCTTCACCGTTTGTCAGTAATGTCTAGATAATCTTAGAAAGTACAAATAACTCGGAAAAGTTTCCATTGGTACTTGCCGTTGATAGGTTTCGAACCTGCACCCTCATGCGTGAGAAGCGGGCGTCTTAAACCTCCGCGCCACCACGAAAGTCAAACCAAACGAAATACTTAATTCAGCCATTTACTTTCACAGATCGGATTCACAGATCCAAAATTCATTCGGTACTTAGAGTCTACAGTCGCTGGTAGAGATCTGATAGCCTTTACATTTGAGTCAACCCAGGATATGAACCTGTTCCTACAGAAAGTCCGAAGGGAACTTGGTTTGAAGCAAGTTAATGCAGTTTGTAGTCAAAGCGGACCTATAGACCGGCCTCAGACTAGTATTCAGCAGTTGAGGTAAGGGATTTTATGCTTTGTTTCTATGGTGTTATGTGTTTGTTTTCTTTGAAATATATTGAGACTTAGGTTACTCTGGGAGCAAATTGTTTAACCTATTATATTGTAATATTACAACGCGGACAAAGTCGCGGGCCTTACGATTACTGTTTCAAAATAAAAGTAGCCTATGTTGCTCATTAGTGCATCAACTACCTACCAATAAAAGTCTTGCAAAATCGGTTCAGTCATTCCAGAGGTTCGCGCCTACCCCTTCGGGGATAAAAGGCGTGATGTTGTGTTGTGTGTGTGTTAAAAATATTGTCCTCTATTTCAGCTACCTAGGTTTCTACGCCTACATAGTGGACACAATAACGGCTCCGTCCGCGATAGTTCGGTACCTGTGTCGGAACTACGGCATACATCGAGTGCCCATTGGAAACGAACATACTTACAAGAATAGCGGGAATGTGCCCGCTCATATCAGCTTCTTTTTTACTGGTGAGTGATGCTATGTATGCCTTTTTTATGCGATAAGCAGGTAAACGAGCAGACGGATCACCTGATGGTAAGCAATCGGCGTCGCCTATGGCCACCTGGAACTACAAAGGCGTTACAAGTGCGTTACTGGGCTTTTGCGTATTAGGAGTCTTAGTATTGGTGGGGATTCGGGGATTGAGGAGGTAGGTAATTGGGCCTCTGGTAACCTCACTCATACGACGATCTTCACTATCACTCTTAATTAGCCTTCAGCCGTCTTGACGTCATTGAGAAACAAACATTTTGATTCAATTAAAAAAACTTTCATCATCATCATCATCATCAACAGCCTATAAATGCCCACTGCTGAGCAAAGCCTCTTCTCACACGGAGAAGGTTAGAGCATTAATCACCACGCTTGCTCAATGCGGGTTGGCGATTTCAAACTTATAATTAGAAATTATAAGTCCAGGTTTCCTCACGATGTTTTTCCTTCACCGTTTGTCAGTGGTGTCTAAATAATCTTAGAAAGTACATATAACTCGGAAAAAGTCACATTGGTACTTGCAGTTGGTAGGTTCCGAACCCGCACCCTCATGCATGAGAAGCAGGCGTCTTAAACCTCCGAGCCACCACGACACGTTAAAAACTTTCACATTTATAATATTAGAAAGAAAAAGAGGACAGATTTGTATATTAGTATGTTTGTAGCAGACTGGCTCAAAAACTACTAGACCAATTTAAAAAAATTTTTTACTGTTAGATGCTAAATTATTATCAATGATTAATTGCAGAGGACTCCCGTGGTGATAATTAGAAATAGTTGTTTTTGTCTTTTCCAGAAAACCATAGATTCACAGTTCGTGTATCTAAGTACAGCGGGGAGAAGTCGACGTCTACCACTGAAGTCCGCCCGGCGAAGCTTCTAGCGAACACCGTCGATGTTGACCAAATCGATAATTTTACTAAACAGTAAGTATTTAATCTATACTAATATTATAAAGAGGAAAGATTTGTACCTCTTTTTGTATGTTTGTAATAAATAGACTCAAAAAGTACTGGGCTGATTTAAAAAATTCTTTCACCAAATAGAATGCTACATTCTTCCAATTTGACATAGGCTACATTTCATTTTGAAAAATATTAGGGATCCTTGGTAAAATTTGAACAATATAACCGAAGGTGTAGAAAAATTAGTCTGAAAATGTCTTTCGTCGAATGTGCTGCCGAAACTATTAGCGATAGAACAAAATAATGTACAACAATATTGAAGAACATCATAATGTCTACAAAAAACTCCGCTGTAGCATATGTCCAACTATTGTAGTTATGCCACTACAACAATCCAAATTTCCAAAAATAAATAATTGTCTACCCCGTGTGAAGCCGGGACGGGCTGCTAGTTAATTATGTTTTCGGCTTACTCACGTCAGTGTTTGACGAGGAACTCGACTAGTTTCAAGCCATGCTAGAGGCTCATATTCGTGAGCAGCATTTCGCGACACGCGACGAGGCGGCTGTTGCGCTGCTGAGTGATCCGAAAATATAATAATTAATTTAGTATGTCTCACGAAAGTCTAATATATAAAATTCTCGTGCACATTTTTCGTTGCCATACTCCTTCGAAACGGCTTGACCGATTTTGATGACATTTTTTGTGCTTATCCGGTATCTATGAGAATCGGCCAACATTTATTTTTCATCCCCCTAAATGTTAGGGGTAGTCCAATTTTTTTATAATTACTAGGAAATAATTTATATGGCAAAACAACGTTTGCCGGGTCAGCTAGTTATAATATAAGTATTTACTTTGAAATCTCGTTTTTAAATAAAAGAAACAATTTTACAAACGTATTGCTGTTTTATCAAAGGCGTTGAAAAACAGGCGGAGAAAATGTCACTGTAGAAATGATTGAAGCACAAAAATGTCAGTGGTGTATTTATATATGCGTACCTATGTAATGGGTTACCACGTTACCGATTAGCAAATAGTATATGTAAATTTGATGCAATTAGCTCTCCCGTCAATTCGTCGTGGTGGCCCGGAGGTTTAAGACACCCGCTTCTCATGTATGAGGGTGCGGGTTCGAAACCTACCAACGGCAAGTACCAATGTGACTTTTTCAAAGTTATATGTACTTTCTGTGGCGACGCATGCCACATGTCAACAGATGACGTCACAAGAATCCTACATCGCACATGCAAAGTTTACAAGCGAATAAACACGGATAGAAAATCCCAACGAACAACCGTTGGGCAGAAAGCCCGCCAGGCACGATCACCTCGCCTGGTCGGAGGATCCTCCTTTTCCGATCTTAGGGAACTATACTCTCTGTTCCCTAAATTAAGATTATTATATTACTAAGATTATATAGACACCACTGACAAACGGTGAAGGAAAACATCGTGAGGAAACCTGGGCTTATAATTTCTAATTATAAGTTTGTAATCGGCAACCCGCATTGAGCAAGCGTGGTGATTATTGCTTAAACCTTCTCCGTGTGAGAAGAGGCTTTGCTTAGCAATGGGCATTTATAGGCTGTTGATGAGCTCTGGCGTCTCTTCACCGCACTATTCACACCGACACCAACTCGTGGTGCCGGCGACGTTGCCGTCCTGTTGTCGAGCGATCGCGGTACCGACGCGACGCCGCACTGTTGCCGCTCCGTGCGTTTTGTTTACGCAACGGATTTGATGTGTTTTTTTTAATAGATACAGTGATTCTTAAGGAAGATTTATATGTATAATACATGCATATTTTGACTGCACGGTTGGCGCGGTGGCTGGGCAACTGGCTGCCGCGCAACGTGTCGCGGGTTCGATTCCCGCACGGAACAACTCTTTGTGTGATCCACAGATTGTTGTTCCGGGTCTGGGTGTCATGTATATGTGAACTTGTATGTTTGTAAACGCACCCACGATACAGGAGAAAATCCTAGTGTGGGGCAACGTTTAAAAAAAAACGCTCCCGTGCGAAGCCGGGGCGGGTCGCTAGTGTATTAGTAAAATTAATAAATTCTTTCATTACAGATTGTCCGCCTTCGAACAAACTGCGCAGTCGCATAGAGCGACTATGCAAGAGATTGAAAGGAATCTGACGAAACTGGAGAGTTCCCTAAACGAGTTCAATATGAGGAGGAAGGCTATTAATGAGGGAGTTGAGAAAGTCAGTATCTCGCCTATATTATTCTATACATATTTTAAATACTGATTGGTATTCACTTATGTGACATGACACACCCACACATACAACTTCAAATACTATTATAAAACACGAAATATAATTGTATTAATGTTTTTTAATTTGATTTGGTACTAATATTTTTAATGTAATTTATATGGACATAAAACTGATTTTCGGACTGATTATTTTATACATACGTAATTCTGCAAAATGTGACGTCACACTAGGGGGATTTCACAAATGTGACTAACTGTGACAAGGACGGGGGGAGGGGCAAAAATAATGAAATTCGTGTGACGTAATTTATTTAGTAGAAAGTAGAGTTTTACTCAAAACTTAAAGAATGGTATTTTACCCCACAGGTGCGAACAATAACAGCCCAAATACGCGTACAAACGAAGAAAGTCGAAGATATAGAGCGAGAAGCAACGTTTGACATCGAACAGGAAAGACATCGCTGTAGGCAGAAGCAAAAGGTCTGTGTTCTGAAACAGTGCAATAGTCACGTAGAACTGAAGCATTGCTACACTACACTCTGCGAGGAAACTAAGAAAGCTCAATTGTGGAAGGTAAGTCACTTTTGCTGTAATCTCCACGCTTGGCGATCGGGTTGGAGATCGCTGTTTATCAGAGAACGCTGATGCATTCTTTGTTAAATAATATGTAGCTGTCGGTTAAATAATAGGGGCTTTCCATAATCTCCACACTTGGCGATTGAGTTGGACATCGCAGATGGAGTTAAATATGTTATCCCTCTAGTAAGCATATCTACAGATAGATAGGTTATAGAAACTGGACGTTAGTCGGTTCGTATCGTAAGACATCCACTGGAAGGGTCAGGGTGGTGAAAAATTTCATTAACTAACATATAATTCCACATACAAGCCACACGGCTTGAAGAGAAATGAGAAGGAAGGGGTGGTAAATGTATTTTTACGACACGACATTGGCATTGTGAAATTTCGTACTCTTGAGTTGCAACACTAGCGCCCATTGTATTTCACTGCGAGGGCCGCCCGGAGGACACAGTGGAGCATACCGTGGCGGTGTGTCCTGCGGGGGCTGAGCACCGCCGTGTCCTCGGGGATGTGGTCGGTGCCGGCGACCTCCCCGGCCGGGCCTGGTGCAGACTATAGTGCGGAGCCAGGGGGGACTGGGATGCTGTGTCCTCCCCAGCCGTCGCGGGACACTCCGGGCGTTGGAGATCGCGCGACGATCTCCGGCCACCGTAACTGCGGGTCTGCGGACGGTGAGCAAGGGTAGCTCGCCGCCCGACAAAAACCAGACCCGTGCGTACGGCGCCTCGAGTACCGCGCGCGAAACAAATAGCCATCAGACCACCACAGATGGGGCTCAGTAGGGCTGATGCCTGATACGAAACCGCGGAAAGCCTAACGGGTTACCGGGGCTCCGGCTCGAAGAGCAGAAGTAGGAACGGGGTGGTTTTTAGTCTGTAAGAGTCTGACACACCCTCTCGCCTCACTCAAGGCCGGAAAAGTCATTCGACGATTCCCCCCCCCCCCCTCAAAAAAATAAACGATAAAAAGCAGCTACGATAGCGGTTGTATAATGTTATCATTAAATTAATTATTGAGATTTTATGACATTGAAATTGCATTGACATTGAGGTTGGTTTCAAGAGTAAATAATACCCTTATTATTTACTCTTAAACTTGAAATTATTTACTCTTGACTATACAACCCGTATCGTAGCTTTTCTTCTTGTGTGTGTGTCGTCGAAGACACTTTTTGAATTTCTACTGTATTGTTTTGTCATAGTCAAGAAACTGAAAAAGATATGTTGTATTAAAAAAGCAGCAGAGCTGTATGTTGTGAGTTACAACTAATTTATTTCTTGTTTCACAAAAGTTTCATATAAAAATGTAAAAGTACCGATACAATATAACGCGTTCATCCAATTCTCAAAAAACTACGCAGTACAATTCAATACAATTCAAGAAGATCACAATTCAAATATATCACAATTTTACTTTAACACGTAACTACAATGTTTACTTCTACAATCCATTATCCTTTAAAAATCTTTGACGAGCGGTCAAATCTGCACAAACCAACCTTTTCTCTCTATAACAACCATTTTGATAAAACTCTTCGATTTCTTGCAACGTCCTGTTCCTTGTATCGGGGACACACGCATACACAAAAACTCCAGATATCACAATATAAATGGCATATAACAAAAACGCTCCCCACAACTTCATATAAACACACAAATATGGGAAGGATTTCAGCGAGGACGAGTGAAAAATACAGGTGCATAGTACAAATATGCAACCTCCGATTCCCCTGTGTTTAACTGGCATCAATTCTGTAGCTATTGTAAACCCTACGCCGTTTGAACCGATACTAAAAACGACCATATAACACACTATGAAATAAGCACCCAACATTGAGTCCTTTGATACTATATCTACGCTTTGCAAATACGCTGCTACGGTCATCAAAGTCATACAAATAAAACTCCCTGACATACTAAATAACAAAATCTTCTTACTGCTAAAAAATCTTGTTAGAATCGTCGTCACAGTGTATCCTATAAAGAATGTGACGTCAATGATAAATTTTATATGCTCGTTCTTATTGCTAGTGAGTTTGAGTGTAATATCGCTTGAATATATTATCACAGCGGCCCCGCCCGTCCAGTAAAATATACTAAGTAAAATAAATGTGTGAAACGATGGTTTGTAAAAGTCCTTACTGACTAAAGTATGTCGAAGATTCTTAAACCATTCTCCTTTAGGTCTTAAATCGAAATTCTCCTTCTGAGCGTGGATTAGAGCGTTCAATTCCCTCATAGATTCCTTATCAGTACCTCTTAGACTTTTAAAAACTACTTCACACTCCTCAAATCTCCCTTTAAAAGCCAACCAGGACGGGGATTCAGGCCAAAACATCCCTAAAATCAAGGCTAGCATAATTGGACAGCTCATAACAGCACCAGCAGTTTTCCAATGCAAATATCTTCCTATAACTCGTCGAGTACCGGTTTTATAGACACAATTAAAGAACAATAGGTCGCGGTCACCGGTGACCGCTTGGTGTTTGACAGATTAATCCCGACAAACGACATTCCAAAAGCTTGAGTTGTGCCGTAGAATAATAAACAAATGTTTCGATATTTCGGTTGTATCATTTCGGACATGCTTAAGAAGCTGACTGTCAGTAAACTGTGCCCTCCAAGACCATGGAAGCATTCTCCTATGATTAAAGTTAAAAGATTATTTGCAGCATATGTGAAGGCCCATCCTATATTTATTAATATGCAGCTGAGTATGAATGTGAATTTTCGTCCTTGGTACTGCATGAGAAATGGCATTAGGAAGCTTGGTATCCCTGCTAGGCCGTGCACTGAGCCTGAAACAAAAGATTGTTTTGTTAATTCTGTATTAACCCCTCGAGCGTCCTTATGAGCACCGGGTGGATCATAAGAAAAAATGCTCCATGCTGCTTTCTGTTTTATAAAATCTATTATTAATGTTTTGTTTTTATTTTGACAGTATTTTTTATTTTTATTGTAATGATCCTTGTTTTCGTGTGCCAATGGCCAAACAAATGCATTTTCTTTCTTTATTTCTTTCTTTCTCCAAATGTCACGTGTGCACCCGTTGGATCATAAGGAACGCGGACGCTCGACGGGTTAAACTTCTTATTTCTATTTGGAGACTGACACAGAGTGAGCCATTGTAATCTGTACTGCTTTCTTATTAGAAGTAGATGATCGATATTCAAAAGGCTACCTTCAATTAACTGTCTGCTACTGGACAGTAGCAGCGCGACAGTCGCCGCGTCGCGTGTCGTGGAATGCTGCTCATGAATATGAGCCTCTAGCATGGTTTGAAACTAGTCGAGTACCTCGTCAAATAATAACGTAAGCCGAAATACATAATAATTAATTTAGTATGCCTCGCGACCTTTAAATTGCAAAAACTGATACTTGCAATTCCGTAATGTGAAAGACTTTTTCGAATAGGCCTGGTAGCTACATGTTATGCAAGGTCCAAGACCCTATGTATTTAAAGATTTTTGACAACAAAACTTTGCACAATATAATGTTGTAATTCGTCTACTCAGTATTTTCATATCTACGTAATATTTTACGATGTTTGCATACAATGCGAATGCATGCATTCATCCAAAACGATAGACGGAGTTTACGTTGTCGGTTCGTGGACAGTTTTCATTGTTTCTATACGTCCTAGGGGGCGTCCATATTTTTAAGTGAGATGTTTAAGGGGGACTACGTGAGCAATCTAGAAGCGAACGCGAAGCGGTGCGGCGCGTAAACATCAAACTGTCGAAACCTATTCAAGTGTTCTGCGTGACAATACGCCCACGGGAGTTAGCAATAACTCCACCGCATGGTGAGGAACGCCGCGAAATGACGCGGGCGCGATCAGTTGGTTTGATATTTTCTCTCGAACTGACATATTTGTATACGTTGCTGTCATGTTTTCAATTGATTATAATGACGGAAACAAAAACGAAGCGAAACGATTCTCATGCACGTAGGACACAGCATTGAATTCCCGTGTCATCGTTTCATAATCGCGTTCGCTTCTAGATCGCTCACGCAGGACGCAGCGTAAGCAAGATGCAAGCATTTGTCAGGTTGTATTGTTTGTGAAGGATGCATGCATTCGTCAATTGTCGCAACGTGGATAATCACATATTAATAATGTCTTACAAACAAATCAAAATACAATAAAAAGGTCCTGCAAACTTAAGTTCGACGGTTCATTAATCTGCCGTCACCACCGACACTGGCAGTATAGTCGACAACATCGCATTGGAGAATCAGTAGCCAAAGAAAAAAAAAGTCTCACCAATCCACGATCCATTATCCAAATCTAGGTGTATTATAGTATCATTGGATCGTAGCTGTTGTAGCAGTACCCCCGGGTACGATACCACTCCGCCTGCTGTTAAAGCTGCTAAATGACAGGAACCCGCTACCGTCAACTGAAAATATACAGCAGTCTATCAATATACTGCCTCGTTGGCCGAGTGGTCGCAAGTACGACTGCCGGGCTAGCGGTCTCGGGTTCGATTTCCGCGTCGGGCAAAATATTACTGGGTTTTTAATTTTCAGTAGTAGCACAGGGTCTGGAATTGTGTCCGGTATATGGCAATAGGCTCACCCCCTATTGCATGGGACTTATAACATAAATGGGACTTAATACATAACTCGAAGGTCACTGAACTCAGGGTCTGACACTCCTTCTCACCTCACCCGGGTGGGAAAAGTCATTGGATGATTTTCCCCCCACAAAAAAAATTTACATAACTCGAAGGCACTGAACTGGGTCTGACACTCCCTCTACCCACCCGGGTGGGAAAAGCCATTGGATGATTTTCCCCCCACAAAAAAAATTTACATAACTCGAAGGTCACTGAACTCAGGGTCTGACACTCCCTCTCACCTCACCCGGGTGGGAAAAGTCATTGGATGATTTTCCCCCCAACAAAAAAAAATTACATAACTCGAAGGGCACTGAACTCAGGGTCTGACACTCCCTCTCACCTCACCCGGGTGGGAAAAGCCATTGGATGATTTTCCCCCCTCAAAAAAAATTTACATAACTCGAAGGGCACTGAACTCAGGGTCTGACACTCCCTCTCACCTCACCCGGGTGGGAAAAGCCATTGGATGATTTTCCCCCCTCAAAAAAAAGTATGGAAATATTACCCACAGTTCACTATTGATATTGTTATTGTGAACTTGTAGGGTTGTCAAATTAGTCCTATTTCTTTTAAAAACAATATTCTTTTAGATTAAAAAACACCCTAAATATAATTTAATAGGGTTAAAAATCGAACGTAATTCACTAGTAGATAGATATAAGATAAATAGCTTACCTGCCTGACCAAAGGTGGGATGTTCATGATATATATTCAGTATCGCAACACTATTTCTATAATACTATAATTATGACACCAACACTACCAATGAAACCTTACTGCTCTTCAGTACATCTTCATGTAATTACATGACGCAACTGGGTTCCGTTTTTAAAGGCACCACGGTGAATGAACGACATGTCGTATTTTAAAATTAATGTAAAGTTTTGTCCACATGTTTGACTGTGTCGTTGGTCTGTATTGCCAAGGATGAGGTCTTGGGTTTGATTCTTAGGTTGGTGTAGCATTATCGTTTTTTTTTAAACCGAGACACCAGCGGTGTTACAAGTTCGTTACCGGCCTTTTGGGGATCAGGAATTTGAGGATTGTTAGGGATTCAGGGATTGCGGAGGTTTGGGAAGGGGGTAATTGGGCTTGACGACCCAAACATTGTAACACGTCGGTTTTCTGTGAGGCCGTGGTATCACTCCGGTCGAGCCGGCCAACTCGTGCCAAAGCATGGCTCTCCTACACTTATTATACCTAGTTAATTCGAGATTTTGTTCACATTTTAGATCATTTTTCAGAAAAAGGATTGACTCAAAAGAATTGAAGTCGGTTTTTTAAAAGGCCGTGGTATCACTCCGGTCGAGGCGACCCATTCGTGCCGTTATCGAAATCTTTTCGGTTTACCAATATAATTTTTCAATTTTAGCTCTGAGTTTGGAATTTTGGTCGGTGTATGACAATATCCATTACATGAGAGTCATAATGATAACATAAAGGGTGAAAAGTGCTATTCTTCATCAGCACCATGTTATCTAAAACTATATATACAAGTTCCTAAGCACCCCATGTTTTAACGTCTATTACGATACATCCCTCCAACTTCAATGGAACTATTAATTTAATTACCAAAAAGTTTCTACCATTCTTTACTAGGGTATAAAAAGTAGGCAGCACGGAGTCTGGAAATGTGCCCGGTATATGGCAATAGGCTCACCTCCTATTACATGGGACTCATAATATAAATAGTGAAAACTGGGTCTTACTTCTGCGTGCACCTCTGCCTACCCCTTTGGGGATAAAAGGCGTGACGTTATGTTATAAAAAGGCACGATGTTTATACCTATTTATTTGTGTTTAGTAAGAAAATATTCATTAAAAATTTGCCAATTTCTTTGTATTTGTATGGACACGTCCTAAATGATGTTGCAAAATTATCAGTCCGTCCCAAAGGTACCGGTTTGGATATCAGTTAATGCTTTTTCGGGTTGTTCCGTATTCATCCTATGACGTCTCATCCTACTCATTATTTTTTCCTTACTCAACCTATTTATGTTCCTTACTCAACCCAGAACAATAATATTATTAAAAAATCTTTATTTATCCCATCCGTATTCCTTGCTCAACCTATTGTAAAACTACCTAATAAAACGTTAGATTTGTGTGTACGGTCTGAACAAAAATATATTTCTTGGAAATATTTTAAAAGGTAAGCTTTTGCTTTTATGTTGTTCTATTAAATAAAACTGCAGGAAATTTGATAGAATCATATATTTAAAAAAATATCATCACTCCTATCTTCTGTTCTCTGTTCTCACATACATAATTATAGCTTTTCAAATAACTAAAAAACGTTTTTTTTTTATAAAATCAACTATAATGAACAAAAATATTTTAAGCAAACATTTCACAATCAACAATGTTAAATCTTCTTTCATTATTATGTTATTACTGGGTTGTCTGATCAAAAGCGTTTTGTACACATTTGGATATAAATTTGTTTAGAATTAACTTAAAATAAATAAAGCTATGTTGTGTGTTTATAAAATCAACAAATTAATACTTTTTAACTTTTTCTATCAACTACATAAAAAAGTATATAAAAATCACAGATTAAAGAAGGACCATTAACTTAAGACTAGTACAATATTGATTTAAAATAGGTATCAACTTTAGGCACTATGAACTAAGTACAATAAAAAAATAGATAAAAATCACAGATTACAGATGGACCATTATCTTAAGACTAGTATAATATCGATTTAAAATAGGTATCAACTTTAGGCACTATGAACTAGGTACAATAAAAAATAGATAGAAATTACAGATTAAAGAAGGACCATTAACTTAAGACTAGTACAATATTTCCATTTAAAATAGGGTATCAACTTTAGGCACTATGAACTAAGTACAATAAAAAAAATAGATAGAAATCACAGATTACAGAGGGACCATTAACTTAAGACTAGTACAATATCGATTTAAAATAGGTATCAACTTTAGGCACTATGAACTAGGTAAAATAAAAAATAGATAGAAATCACAGATTACAGAGGGACCATTAACTTAAGACTAGAACAATATCGTTTTGAGATAGGTATCAACTTTAGGTACGTCTTCAAATCATAAAAAAATATAAATTATTACTTCCATTTCTAGATTAATCATAGGAATATCATTTTTAAAACCAAGACTTATGTATTCGAACGATACATTTACACTTTAAAATAAATAAATGGAGCTAGTTTTTCTAGGCAGTGACCCAGCACTATTTTTTGATCAACTAATTCTTGAATAGCCCTGTTGATTCGGTCTTCATTTTCCTTTCCATTAGCTGACGAAGAGGTCGATGCACCATTTTGTCGTTGTAACATGCTCGCGTTTTGTAGAAGGGCATCTCTTTTTAAAACATGTAGCAATTTCAGCATATTTATTTTTTTGTTTGGAATAAATCTATTTATTGTCGCATGCCAACTTTCGAGAGCGTTGGTCGTTCTATTTTTTTGCCCGCATACATTCCAAATATGTGTTGGAAATTTGCCCCCCTCTAGCCATGTCTTCACCAAATAGTCATTAAATTTAGTAATATTGTTTTCTCTTGGACAGTCCTCCATAATGTATAGATAAGCGTCGTCAATCAAATGTTCTGGTAACAATGGCAAAGCCAAACATAGGGCAAGATGTTTGAGCTGATTTCTGTTTTTTGTAACTTTTAGTTGTTTTGCTCGTTTAACAAGAGCTTGACAAAAGTGGAAATAATAACCTTTGATCTCTGTATTCGGTAGTACCGTTTGAATTGAATTCATCACAGCCTTTTCAAAATCAATTACAATTTTCTTCGGATTCCAATTTGGTATTTGAGCTTTAATCAAACGGAACATTGTAGTGTAAGTTTTTTCCTTTTTTGACATAAGTAGGACATATACTAACGGGATAATATAGGAATTTTCGCTGTCATTGCTCAAATCTCCATGTATAACATAAAGTTGGTAAAATGGTTTAATACAGCATTTAAACGTACCATCAGCATAGAAGTCTCGAATCGTTGCCATTCTTTGCCGCCCTTCCTGTGATGCGAATCCTATAATGCGTGTTTCATTTTCTTGATAGTCGAAAAGTAAAAAATCCTGATATGTACCGGGAATTTCTACTTCAGCGCCATTTTTAAAAGTTGTTTTTTTTACTCCATGGCTCTTATTGCGAGCGTTGTAGAGACCAGTCTTGATGTTTTTAAATTCTGGGAGGTTTGTTACTAAATTGAGCCCCCGTTCATGTAGTGACAATAAAGTTTCTTGATACACTGTCGATATTGGTTCACCTTGTAATGACTTCACTCTATCCTTGAGATTGTGCAAAGCTTCTTTCACAACATTTGTTATTTCACTACGATCACAACTATGAGGATTTTCTTTTTGAACGGCTTCGTTTAACACTCTCACACTACCAAAGCAAGCTGGTGCTTTTGTGCAACGCCACATTACGCTTCCATCCTTATTGTCGTATTTTTTATGAAATTGAAAACCGTTATATAACAACAATTTACGGCCTCGTTGCGATTCTACATACGTAAGTCATTATCACGGTTCTGGTGCATTTTTAACACGCGTTGACACACAGTATGCCAGTTAGTGGTAAACTGATAAGAACAGATCCACAACATCGTTAAAACGATTAAAACCGGTTAAGGGTCAAGACAGTAGCTATTGCTATCTCTTTCACTTTTTAACGTAAAAGCCATTAAAGCTATTTAAACTAAACGCACAGACGGACGGCCGAACGGTGCAATAAAGTGTGCAAATGAAACAGCGCACATCATGTTCTCTCTCGCACTCGCACTGTTTATGAGTGACGTCACATAGACAAAGGTATGTGCGTCGACTTGTTTACTAAAAATTCAAAAATGTACATTACCATTTTTTATTTTTTTAATCCTAGAAAGTCGTTCTATTGAAGGCATAGATACATATTAATTTTCTGCAAGAAAATAAGTATTCGTTTGCTATCCATACCTTTTTGGTATTATTTGCTTCGAGACGAGTACGGAATGCATTTGGGTTGAATTAAGAAAATATATTAAAATAATTTAATGGGTTCAGTAAGGAATATTAGTTTGGGATGAGTAAAGAAATGGGATGAGACGTCATAGGATGAATACGGAACAACCCGCTTTTTCGGATTATGCACATATTTCTTTGAGATGCATAAAAACGTTGAGTACCTACATGTTTTTTATTCACGGCTCAAGGAGGCCGTGTGATATTTTTTTTTTATGAAGTCTACTTAAACTGACGTCATATTACTTAATATCCTTGCATAAGTTTGACATTAGCGTTGTGTGAAATTTCGTCAACTAAATTTACCATTATTTATCCAGTCTACTTGTTTACATACTTACATAACCTCGCGCCTGTCTCCCAAAGGGGTAGGCAGAGACTATGGAACGCCAATTTTTACGACTCTTACATACCTCTTTCGCTTCATCAACAGTCATTATATAAAATTATTATTTCTATAAAATAATCTGTGTATATATTATTATTACTTCTTACTAATATAATAAAGTGGTCGTGGATCGTGGTGGCCTAAGACGCCCGCTTCTCATGCATGAGGGTGCGGTTTCGAAACCTTTTTGGATCTGTGAATCCGATCTGTGAAAGAAAACAGCTGAATTAAGTATTTGGTTTGGTTGGACTTTCGTGGTGGGGCGGAGGTTTAAGACGCCCGCTTCTCATAAATGAGGGTGCAGGTTAAAATCTACC